GATTGGAAGCTTTTTCACGTAAATAGCTAGCGCAGAACAACGGCCACGCCCATTGTGATCGTACGTTTCTTCGTGGCAAGTATTTTATCAATCTTGTTTTTTTTTTTCTATCATAAAAGTTTGCTTCCACACCAACTAAAGTTCATCGAACCCCCCATTTGTCGACTAATTTGACTTTTCAACGAAATTTTTGGCTGCAATCAAGGCATATGAAATAGGTAGTAGCAAAAGCAACATTTACGTGTATTTTTGTTGTTGCTTCTGGTATCTAAATGGTCAAAAAAAGTATTCTACTTTTAAATATCATTGTGAGCGATGGGAAATATAAAAAAAAATTAAATTGGTGTGACTTTCTTTCTTTGTAAATTTTTTTTTGCATTCATGAAGCATCAATACATCCTTTGCAGGGCCCAATAATCAGCGTTTATGCTCCTGAGTTAAGCGAACATTCCAAAGGCTGGTTTTCAATCGCTTTTTGTGAAGATTCATATGCACATTTTGCCAATTAAAATTTTTTGCGGGAAAAATTAACAATATTTTACAGTGACCAGAGACCAAAAAAAACCTGTTTAATTTAATGTGCTTGGCTGCAGTTCAGCATATGTCGCATTTATCAATATATGCAGTTCATTTGAGGCCAACTTATTTACGAAAAGCTTTCGGACAATTGAAAATTTAGGTGGCGCAATAAGCATTTATTAAACGTAAAATTGTTGATGTTCGGTTGAAATCGCACAAGTGAAGTTTGAAAAACAAATTTCCTTTTATATTTTTTGACTCTAGCGATTCATGGCACCTCCTAACCTTTCTGTTCTGAAGAAATTTGTTTGCTTAACATTTTGAATTGATTTTCTATATAACCCAACAAGCATTTCAGTAAACGTTTTTAAAAATAACTTAAATTAAGTTTGCTATAATAAGCGTTAAATAAGCATTTTTAATATTAAGCTTATTAAAAGTTTTTGCAAACAAACCTTTAATAAGTTTTGAGAGCGAATGTTTATAAATAACTTAAACTTATAAATGAAATGTAAATGCCAACGACATGAAGTAGTAAATATAAAATTTTTTCAATCGTAAGTGACGTGTTTACGTTTTTTAAAATATATTATTAAAAGAAAAAATTAAATAAAACCAATGCGGTAAAACAAGAAAATCCAATCCAGGACCCGCTGCGCTAATCTGTAGAGCATTCTTCAAATGATGAGTTCCCCTTATCCTTTCTTAGTTTAACATTCAATTAAAAATGTATTAAATTTTTTTCAGAAAAGTTCATCAATGAGAATGGCGGCGATAAAGCGCAATATATAGCTGCATCGATGTCCCTTTTCCAATTTGCCAATAACCGCAAGTAATTGAAAGCACGCAACAAGATGTAATAATTAACTTTTTTATGCTTAATTTGTATGTGTTATTGTGAATTTGTATGCTAAAATGTCTATTCCCTATTTATATTTTCGCGACTGTAGATGAGTCCGCGGAAAATTCGCATTTCGTTTAGTTTCTAGATGTTAAGCAATCTATGTATGAGGTTTTAATGAAATATCTTTAAATAAAGGGTTATAAAAATGTTTATAAAAAGCTTTCTTTTGAAAATTTTTAGTAAGTTTATATTGATACG